GGGGGTCCCGGAGGGGGGTCAGGGCCGGCGGGGCCCGCGTTCCCCGCCCCGCACACGGGAAGGCCGCGGGCCTCTCCGAGCTCCCCGGGGCGCGCAGGTCGCCAAGCCCCCGCCCCCGCCGGGCCCACCCCCGGCCCCCAGGGCAGCCCCGAGCAGGTCGGGGCCCGGGCGGGCGCGGCCGGGCCCCGATGGCGGCGGATGGGCCCCTCCAGGTGTCCCCCACACCCACCATCTTGTCCGGGCTCCGCGGAAAGGGCGGCGCCTCGCGGATCTCGCGAGAGCCGGGGAAGGGCAGAAGCCGCGCGCGCGGCGCTTCCGCCCTCAGTGCCCTTAAAGGGGCCGCGGCCGCGGGGGGACCCCGGGAGCTGCTTCTCGCGGTGCCGGCGGAGCTCAGGGCCCGGTGGAACCGCTCCTTGCCTCTGGCCCAAGGTGGAACACCAGGGGGACACATCAGTCACCTGTGCCTCGCAGACACACCTGGGCAGGTGTGAGCACCGGCACCTGCCGGGAGCCACCTCCATCCCTCACCCACGGACCTGCATCCTTTACCCCCAGACCTTCATCCCTCAGCCATGGACCTGCATCCTTTACTCCCAGACCTTCACCCTCACACATGGACCTCCATCCCTCACCCCCAGACTTCATCCCTCACCCCCAGACTTCGTCCCTCACCCATGGACCTGCATCCTTCACTCCCAGGCCTTTATCCCTCACACACAGACCTTCATCATTCACCCAAAGACTTTCCCTCTTCACCTATGGACCTCCATCCCTCACCCACGGACCTTCCCCTCCCGCTGCCCTGCCCCCGGAGCCGGTGGCTGTTCCCGGTTGAACCGAGGACACGCCGGGTGTGGCTGAGCACAACAGGCTCCTCTCGGCCCCGGTCGATCCGGTTTGTCCCCCGGTCCGGGAGGTTCCAGCAGATCCAACGGCCCACGGGAACCTGGAAGAGCCAGTTCTGTGCAGAAGGGGACCCGAATCCAAACCCTTTTATGCCAGAAGAGTTTGCAGACGTCAGGTCCCCTCCATTCCGTGTATCCCTGGAGCTGTTGGGCTGTATCCTCTCCACGGTGTTTCCCGCAGCCCAAACCTCACCGAGGGTCCGGGTGGTCTCAGAAGTGACACCTGCACAAAACCACAACTGGAGCAGCTCCTGTTCCAGGGATGCTCCAAGCACGTGAGCTCTGGATGTGAGGGAGTGAGGAGCAGAGACACGAGGATCCGAGCCTGGAGCATCCACGGGGAGGAACTGGCACGATCCACACAAACCACAGAACAGATCCAAGCCCTTCTGAGAGCGACCCAGCGACCTCCACGTCCCAGAGTGCACGAGTGCAGAGCAATGCCACCTCATTAACAGCGATTAATTACAGCAGAGAGGACTAACGAGCACAGACACAGCCCCTGGAGGAGGTTCTGTGGGTGAGATTTGGGTCTGATGTGAACTCTCACCTCAGCCAAGGGCCAGTCCCACCTCTGCCAGTCCCTTTCCCATGGGGCTCAACCCCACATTTCAGAGCCAAACCCCGGGGTGACACTCCAGAAGAGCCAGGTCAAAGCTACAGCCACTGAAGGTCAGCTGATCAATCCATAAATTGCCCATTTTGCCACCGTGCCTTGAAGCCTCGAGGCTGGGTGAAGAGCAGCATTTCCACTGCCACCAAGACGTGAGTGACGATGGAGGGACAGGCCAGGATGGATCTGATCCAGGCCAGAGCCCCTCAGCAGGTGGGATGTGATCCATGTGGGAGCCAAGGACAGCCGTGTCCCCCCCCGGGGGGTGGGCACAGGGCACAGCCCGTGACCCCCCAGGGAAGGCGACTCTGCCGACGGATTTCTCAGGAAAACCCGAACTCACAAGAAAAAGCAAAAAAAAAAAACAAACCAGAAAAATGGAGACAGGCTTGGTGTTTCTAATCCAAAGGTTCTTGTCTTTATTCAAACCAGGGCTCAGCACTCCAGTGCCCAACGCACCGAAACCTTTTGCCTGAGGGAAATCTACACCCCGCGGAGCCCCCGGCACCCCGAGGGAGGCCCAGACCCACCAGGGCCCCTGCGTGTCCACGGGTCCCGCCCCCCCCCCCGCCCCGCCCCCCCCCCCCCCCCCACAACAACAGCAAAATACACTCAGTAGATTTCTGTCAACTCCCAGAGTTTCGGATCCCTCCGCCCCAGCGCTGCCCTGGGCAGGGAGGGAGGGGCTGGAGCCCTCCCCCCCCCCCCCCCCCCCCCCCCCCCCGAAACCCCTGTTTTAAATTAAAAAATAAGCCAGCATACATAGTAGAAAATTTCTCTTAAAAATTTCACAATCTGTAAATGTATATATTTTTTTTTTTTCTTTTAAACATAAAAGTTTACAATATACGGTAAAACAAAGGCTCAGGAAAAATAATTTCAAAAAAAAGAAACCTGAAGTTTTGAATTAAAGCTGAAGACATTTTTAAAACCCTGTAGTTTGAACCAGTGACATTTTCTTTATTTGTGCTGATGGGTTAGAGAAAGGAAAAAATCTTTAAAAACTGCAGTCCAAACACCCACAGCTCTGCCTTCAGAAGCCATCTGCCCCCCCCCCCCCCCCCAAAAAAAAATTGTTGTTAGGTTTTTCTTCCATCAAGTATGTGATTGTCACAAGTTCAGAAGTCTGGGATCCCGGGGTTCAGCTGGTCCCAGAGATCCCTGTGGACAGCACTCCCTGATTGCCAGCCCAGGCTAGCGCCGGTAGGGATGGAATCCTTGCACGTTGTGGTTCTGGCCCCGGCCGAAGCCGCTGCCTCCGGCTGGGGGGCCGCTGGAGGGCTGCACCGAGGGGCCTCCGTAGGGAGGGGGCTGCTGGCTGGGATCAGAGAAACCTTGTCCAAACCCGCTCAAGTCTTGTCCATACCCTGGGGAGAAGGGAAAGGCACAGGATCAGCTGCCAGGAGCAGCAAACTCCGCTCCCTCCCTCCTCTCCGGGCCCAACCCCGCGGAGAAGCAGCTGCCCTGGGTTCCCACTGGGATTTACCTTCCACACAGAGGGAACGGGCACAAAGGAGAAGGGGACAGGTGTGCAGGAATGGGGGGGCTGCATTTTGGGGTGATCCCAGCCAGGCTGGCAGTTCCAGTCACACCGAGGGGGCTCCCAGGGGGGCTGTCACTCCTTCTGGGCAGCTTCATTTTGGGCTGGGCTCTCTCCTGGCTAAAAGCTGCCAGGTCCAGCACAGGCAGAGGGGTGGCCAGGAAGAGTCCCCTGGAATCTCAGAGTGCCTCAGACTGACCATGCAGTTACCACACTCTGCTTCACCAGCTGGACACCCACAAACCTGGACAGCTGCTGTGTCCCAACTACACTTTCAGCCAAAGCACCCCCGAGTCAATATTCCTCTTGTTCTCCCCCAGCACTTCTCTCCTGCCACACTGTGCCCAACTCAGGGACATTGTCACCACCTCTCTGTGACATAACCCACACCACAGAGTGAGCAGAACCTGGGGACAGGGAAAAAAAACAGGATGCAGATGGAGGACCGGGCAGAATTCCTGCTGCCAACACAAAACACAACTAAATGTAAATTAGGAACACCGAGAAATTGAGAAATTTAATTCAAATTCCTGCAATTAAATACAACTCTTAATCCTGGCATCAGTGCCAGCCCCTGCTCTGAAGGATGGTATTAAGGCTCCTAATTACCAAGTGCATTTCTGCAGTGCTGCCTCTCTCTGAGCAGGCTTAGAGCAGGTTTAACTCTCTTAATCCCAAACAAAGTCTCTTAGCACATCTTCAGTAGCTCAGTTTCAAGCTCTGCCTGTCCCTCAGGACTTGCTGCCACTAATGAAGCCTAAAACACAGCTCTGACAGTCTCTGGGAGCCCCACATGCTCCCCTGGCATTTGTTTAGACACAGACAAGCAGGGCCCCAGAACTGCAGCTGAACTGTTCGCTGGGAGTGGAAAAAACCAAACCCTGAGTTACTGTCACTCGAGGGCAGAGCTGTGAGGTGCAAACCACAGCTCCCCCTGGGCTCACGCTGTTTATCACAAAGGAAACCCCCCCACACACCTGCAGAGTCACTCAGGGCACGTTGCTTTCCTCCCCTGGCTGCTGATCCCTGCTCCAATCCCTCTGCCAGCTCTGTGCTTGCACTGTCTGGCTCAGGAGCCCGGATCCATTACCAGGGTAAAGCCTGGCCAGGGAACAGTGGCAGGCACAGTTCAGGGGGGGGTTTTCACCCAGCCAGCTCACAAACATGAGGAGCTGTACTGCCCTTACACAAACCCCCCACATCTGAGCCTCATTCTTGCCTCTCACCCCCCTAAAGAGTCTGCAGAGAGCCAAGTTCTGGCAGGACAAGAAAAACTTCCTTGAGTCACGAGGGCAAAACTACCCATGAAAACCAACCCTGTTTGTAACAAACAAATGAAAAAACGTTTCAAATTCCTCAGCATGAGAACAAATTCTGCTTTATAAACACATGTGAAAGGCTCATCTTCCTTCAGTGTCTGCTTTACACTGCTGGGACTTTGAATAGCATCTATTTAAATAGATTTTGTGAAGTGTTTATCTCAGTGCAGTTTCTGCAGGCACTTCACACGAGGCAGCACTACCACATGGAGAACGTGTTCAGGCAGGGAACAGCCTGAATCCACAGGGCTGCTGCTTGCAAAAATTCCCTTCAGAAGTAAAAGTGACCAATTACAATCCCTTAAAGGAAAAGAAAACCAAAAAGCAGTACAGAGCTCTTTGGAGAGTTCTCTGCAGAGCTCTTTGGAGAGCACTGCTCGAGCACAGGGCTGAGAAGAGCAAGAGGAGAATGAGAATTCCCTCTGAGCTTCCATGGGGAACAGCAGCAGAAGTTTTACTCAGGAGCACAAGCACCTGTCTAGCAATTTTTACAAGATTTTATCTTTTGTAGTACTGTCTGCCTGGCTTAAAACTTGTTACCTCAGTGTCTTCTATCACCTACCTGAAAGTCATCTACAGAGCACAACAAAGCTTTACAGAGCTACACCTCCAGAGAGATGGGGAAGGAATGGGAAAAGGGAGGAAAAGACACCAGCTTGGATCCTTACACCTGCACTGCCTGCCTCTCGATGCTGCTCTCACTCTTGAAGTCTGCTCTCCAATCTCAAAGTCTGTTACACAAAAAAAGTTCACCGTGAGCTCTGTGAAGCTCTTGGAGTAAAAACTTTTACCCACAGATTTGGGGGGGAGTGGAAACCAGGAATTCATCCTGGCAGTGCACAAGGCTCTGAAGATTATTTCACAGCACACAAGCAACATTTTAGAGTTGACTGAGAAAAAGCCCTCTGGCTTGAATATTGCATGATTTAAGGGTGGCTTGAGCTGGTGGGAGCGTTCCCATCCCAGAGCAGTGCCCTCAGTGTTGGCAAACTGTGCCCAGCACTGACTCCCTACCCAAGGCCAAGGGAAGGGGAGGGAGCCTGAGCAGTTACTCACCAAACTGACTGTAAGGGAATTCTGGCTGAGCAGTCGGGGGTTTGCTCATGTCCTGAGTTGCCTGAGATGGTGGTGGTGGTGGAGGAAAAGCGAGTGGTGCTGCCCCTGGAGTGGCAGGTGGAGGAGGGACCCCAGGGGGGGCAAACTGGTCAGGTGGAGGAGGTGGAGCACCATAACCAAAACCTGGAACACGAGCAAGTACAAAACACATGTGAAAACACTCAGGTGAACACCACCCCGACGTTCTGTTTGGCTTTAGAGCATGATATAATTTAAAAAAACCCCCATTCCTAAGTCTATTAAAGCCAAACTGGGTGTACAGTGATTCACCTCTACACAGGTAACCACCACGGCTCAGAGACCCCCACAACTTACCTGCCACAGGTATGAAAAATGTCCCCCCCAGGGCAGAGACTGCAGCAACCAGCACAGAGGGAGGGAGAAAGCAGAACTGGGGACCCAGCTCTGTGCTCACACACACATGAGGAATGAGGAGGAAGCTGTATTGTCCAGGATCTCGGGAGGATAACGTGGTGCTATCTGCTACTCCAGATAACTGGGGGCTACTTTCCACCTTCTTTAAACCAGGTTTGTGACCAGACTTTTGAAAAGATGGCCTGAAGAGGGTAGATGCTAAAATCCTATTTGTATTTCCAATGCCAGTTGTGACCTTAATTCCTTAAGCTCCTCCAAAAATCTCTGTCTGGCCATGAGCAGTGAGCTCTAAGTTTTCTCTCAGGTGCTGTAACAAGGGTACAAAATACATCTAAATTTGTTCAGCAACACAGACTTAAACCAGAGACTATAAATCATTACTGCATCCAAGAAAAAAAAAATTCAACTCACCAGCAAAAATAAGGATATAGTTAATTATAGCTCAGAATAGAAAACAGTTAAGGATAGGTGAAACACAGGGGGAAAATCCAAGTCCAGGGGAAGATGAGCAAAAGCTGAATTTGGTGCTGGATGTGCTCCAGCTCCTGAGGGTCACTTACTAAATGGTGGAGGGGTGCCATAGCCCTGTGGAAATCCTTGTGGAGGTGGGAATCCCCCGGGAGGTGTGGAGACTATGTATGAGGTAAATGGAGGTGGAGGGGGAGGAGCTCCTCTGCCCGGAGGAGGGGGTCCATATCCACCTGGAAAACAAAGAGAAACCCAAAAAATGAAGCAGATCAATACTGAGGAGCTGCTGCTGGAGTCAGCTTCCTCTAGATGGGGTAAGGCTGTTGGATGGATCTCAAACGCAGGCTCAGCCTTCTATGAATCCTTTCTTTGGGAAATATTTGTCCTCCAAGTATCCCCACTGTAAATAATTGCAGTTTAGCATGTAATCCCTTGATAACAAATTAATGTGGCTGGAGCAGCAGGATGTGTGTCAGCTCCCATTACTGAGCTGTTAAGAATCCACTGTCTTCCCCTTCGTTCTTCCAGGACAAATTCAATCAAGCTTTTAAATGTAGGTTAAATCCTACAGAAACCCACAGATCACTGTGAATGCTCAAAGAAGCTGTGCCCGCACTCAGGAGGATTTTTTCTGTCAGGATTGGTCCCATGTAATGTACTTACCAATTGCCTGTCCAGCTGGCACCCACATCCCTACAACAGAACAAAAAAGGAGCCTTAGCCATCGCTGAAGCTGCCCACTCTGGAGCAGGGATGATGCAAGAGCAGGGATCCGGCTCTGGGATAGACTGGGTATCCTCCCAGTGTCCCTCACACGTCTATTTTTAGGGTCCAAGAAATATTCTGGGCCTATTTCTGAATACACCATTCTGGAAAGACTCTGAACCATTCAGACAACACGCAGAAGAGACAGCAGTCCCCAAACCCAAATCAGATGGAGCATTCGAGGGCTGCCACGTACCAAGTGCACCAATCCATAGCACTATAAAGACCAAAATCCTGGAGAATCCCAGCAGACCAAACATCCAAAGGATTTTTAATTTACCACCACGTTTATCTGAGTTGTTTTTGAAGTTTCTGAACCATAAAAAAGCCTTCCCCACCCGCTGCAGCTCTGAGACTGAAGGATAAATGTGCCTGTGCCTGCCATTAATCTTTCCAGGAGATCAGGTATCATTTTCCCGACTAATCACCCCCTGGAAAATGATGGAGTTTCTCCAGTTGCAGATCAGCACATCTGTGCACAGTGTCAGCCCTCAGCTGCAGCTTCCCAGCTAATCAGCACCGTGGGGAAACGAGCCCTCCCTGTGCTGCCACCCCCACCAGAGCGGGGATGGAGCAGCCACGCTCCCTCCAGCCCCCAGGTGAACACTGCTCATCTCTCACAGCAACTCAATTACCCCGCTGCACTTCTCCAGAGTTATCAAAACTGTCTTTGGGTGAACTCAGCGTGTTCATCCTGCCTTCAGAACCCCGTGGGGTGAGCAGCCATCAAACCCAACCGCGCTCCTCGGCCCGGGGGGTTCCTGAGCTGCAGCAAGAGCTCCTGCACCACCAGCCCCAGAGCTGCCTGGTGCTTTTCCAGGCTACATTAAGCAATTAAATCCAAAGACAAGACCATCTGTTTTCCCCTCATCCCTTTCAAACCTTCCTTATAACTTCCTCTGGAACTGCCTCATCCCTGAGAGAGCCGTATTTAACCCGGTTTGTCACCGGGGTCTCACACAGGCCTCGCTCCTGCACCTGGAGCCACACCTGGAGCCTCCTCCACAGCTTCTTCGAGTCACCCCGAGGCAGGGGGAGGCAGATCCAAAGGGAACAGCTGGAGGACACCTGGGACAGGTGCCAGACCCCCCTGCCCTGTGGAGCGGGTTTTTTGGGAAGCAGGGTGGCCGTGGCGGGCGGGCGGTACCTTGTGGGCCGTATCCCTGCTGCCAGGTCGGAGGGGGCTGCCCTGCCCAGCCGTTGGCAGCGCTTGGCATGATCCTGCTCCCCCACTGGCTGGCCCCCGGCGGCCCCGGAGTCTGGCTCTTGCTGTCCCGAGGCTCGGCACGTTTCACCTCCACCTAAACAAACAGGGGCGGGGTCAGGGGGGCCGGGGGGGCCCGGAGCCCCCCGACCCCTCACACACACCCGCAGTTACACTTACGACTACACTTAGCATCTTATGGCTTACGTCTAAGTACTTAATTACTAAACTTAAGGCCGGTAATTTACAATGTTTCTCAGGTACAGTGTAGGTGATGGTAAGACATTACAAGTCCTACTGTCCAGGGATTCCGAGAAAAACATCCTACAAATCACTTGAGTGTCATTGGCTTTAATCTTAAAACAGCAGTACCCTCTTACAGCAGCTCTGCACTGACAACAGCAGAATCTTCGTTCAGGACAGGCTGATTTGATGGTCAAGGCAGGAGTCACAGGGACAACGTTTTCAGTTAAAAAACCAGAATTTTGAGTGAAGAGGCCGCTCTGAAAAAGGGTACTAATGCTTTAACCAAACACATTTGGGGTTCATTTGGAAGTGACAGTTTAACCCACCCCAGCTAATGGCAATTTCAGCTCATACCTGAGAAACACACATTTTTGATTGATTTTTTTTTTTTAAATGTTGTTTTCTTTTTTTTTTTTTTTAAACTTAAGATTTTATTTAAATGTCTAATGGAAGATAAAGACTTACCTTCCCCAGGCTAACGCTTAAAGAATCTCAATTAACTCAAACAATGTCAGAGGGAATGGATGTGATAAGAGAATCTTACATTACATCTAACAAAAAAGTAAACAAACATGCAAGTAATAAAAATGGACAGTTGAGTCAATAAGAAGCAAATCTTCATACTGTGTTAAGTCAGTGACAAAACCCCTCCTGTTTTAAAAATTAGTAAGCCACAGTGCTTAACTTATTTTATTCCAAGATAAAACATCCTAGTGTTCCCAGCCACAGAATAAGTGCATTTGACCTACTTAAAATAAGCTGCACATTCAACATAAACCTCTCAAAAAAAAAAGAAAAAAATAAAAATCCAGCCCTGGTTTAATGAAACCCTCTCAGCACTCGCTGGATTCGAGGCTTTTTTTTTTTTTTTTTTTCCATTTCATGATTAATTTTAATGGGTGCCAGAGTACAAAGAAAATAAATCTCAATCATCAATGGGCCCTGAGTAGTATGGAAAATAAAGTATTCAGAATTCTTCCTGCCATGTCTTAAAAGCCATTCATGTCGGAGAACAAACAGGAAACAGGCACAAGGCAAGGACAAAGCCCCCCGTGCCCCCCCCGCCGATGCCCCAAGGACATGAGACATGACAGTAACCAAATCTCTGTCAGCTCAAGGCCCTTCCAGAGAGGAACCAGGGGAATTTTTCAAAGGACTCAAATTAATGAGTCTTAACACATTTGCCTTGAGGGAATTCGGTTATTGCTTACAAAAGCAGAGGCCTTCTTGCAATTTTAATTCCCCCCCCCCCCCCATCTTTCAACAACATATGGATTCATTTCAGCAATACCTTTTTAATTACCAAAAAAAGACAGAGATACCATTTTTAAAGCAGGCATGATTAGGCAGTGGAGGAGAGCAGGGGATCTGCAGCTCATTAATCCTCGTGGAAGAATCCCATTAATTTTTCAGTGCACATTTTGAAGCGGGGAACTGCCAAACTGAGGACTGAAAATTCCCTGTGAACAGGGAGGGGCAAATTCCACACCTGCCTAAAGCCCAGGTTAGCCCAAGAACTGAGGCAGCTCCACTGCTCTGAGCTGAAAATCCCTGAATTCTGCTCTGTGTGTCGTTGGAAGGGGGGAAAAAAAGGGGAAACCCAGATTCTTTCCATTTGGAATTGGGTTTGTTTGGGAAGCACCCAGAGCATGTCCCAAAGGCAGCAGCACGAGGTGACATCTGGAGGCTCACTCTGGGCTCTCCAGCCTCTCCCAGAACCTCAGGGATGTGTTCCCTTTGTTCCCATTGTATCTGCTGCTTTGCTCACTGAAGGCAATTCCAAGGGCAGACCAGGGGATCCAGGTAATTCACACACATACCAGTGGGATCTGCTGTGGAAAACACCAGGAGCCAAGAACAGGCCCTGATGTTCTGGATCACACCAGCACATTCCTTTGTTTCCACTGTCAGGAAATCACCCACCCCTCACCCCCAGAACAAGTTCATAGGAATTAAAGGCATTATTTACTGCATAATTAACCAGAACTCCACTGATATGCAGAATATTTCCCCTGCTAGGTAAGGAAATGCTTATCAAATAGCACACAAAAGACTTTAAAGACAATAAAGAAAAAAAATCATACAATGCAATAATTTAAGGAATGTAAAAATCTTCTTGAATCTCCTCACTCTAAGTTTATCAGTTTTAACATTTACTTTAAAACCTGGATCTGCCTTAAAGCTGCAAGGACTTCAATTTACCAGAATTTCCCGTGGTTCGTTTTCCTTTAAGTTCCTCTTTTCTCTCTCTAAAACCTGGGTGTCCTGCAACAATTTACTTTGCTTTTAGGGTTTTTTTTTTTTCCACAGGTAGAAGCATGTTCCTTGCTGAGTAACATCAAAGGAGCCTAAAAAATTCCTCCCTATCCAACGCCCGTTTGCTGACAACACAGTATGAAGATGAAACAACCAGAGGTCACTTAACTGCATTGTGGTTAAATACTATATAGAGTACGTGGGTTGGTATCAAAGTTTCACAGTAAGTGACCCAATTTTTTAAAAAACCAATCCTTCAGGATGTTTTTTTTTCCCTTTTTCTTTTTAAGTTTAAGATTATATAAAGCAGATTGTCTCACACCACCTCAAAATTTCAGCATCGAGTTACATCTGAAGGAGTGGTATCTTAAACCAAGCCTTGAACAACTCGGATTTCACTGGGATTCTGGTTTTCAGACAGCTGGAGATCAGAGATTTCTCTCCTTGCCCCACAGCAGGGCTGGAGCTGAAGGCAGTGAGCACAGCTCATCCCAGCACTCTGCTCTGCCAGAGAACCCCAGGTCTGTACACACAAGGCCTCACCCCGACCAGCAGAGCCCACAGCCTGAGCCCTCAGGCTGAATCCAAGCCCTCCCTTCCTCAGGCTGAGCCCCCCAGCTGCCCTTCTCACCCCCCTTCCTGCAAACTCAGACTTTCCCCACCTTCATGGATAAAGCCTTGAATTTGGACTTCCGTGCTCTCCCACCCGGGCCAAGGATTGAGTTTCACTCCCCAGTGAAATCGCTCGTTGCCCAAGACTTGGTTCTTTCTTAAGGTAAAATAAAACTACAACTACACACTTTTTTGCCCATGATGTCGTGAAAATGCATGTTGACAGCCTGGTCCACTGATTGTTCGTCCTCGAAAGTAATAAATCCAAAACCTAGCCAACGACGAAGAGTGAATCAAGGTAGCAGGGTGTTGTGACACAAAACAGGATGATGAACAGTATTAGGGGCAGACCAAGGGTTCAAGCAGGGGTTTCAGATAACGACACTTGTGTTCAATTGCCAAAAACTCTGCCAAAATTGCAATGGATACTTCCTGTCGTGAGGCAATTAGTGCCTTGCCGTGGGTTCACACATGCAACTTCAAACTGAGCTCGTTAACCGGCTTTTAATTTGATTTTATTCCTCACCCACCTACCAGGAAATGGAAAAAAAAGTGCTAAAACCAAAATACTTGTGGGACAGCAGGTTAAAGTCAAGCAACTTTGCTGCTCCTCCTTGCTCAGCCTAGTTTCCCAAGGAAAACCTGTCTTACCCCTGTTCCCCAAAGCTGCAAAGCAACTTCCTCCCATCCCTTAGCCCAGCTTCCAGTTATTTTTCCGTGGAAAATAAGAAAGTTGGTTTTGAAATGTAGCTGTTAAAGCATGGAAAATTTTACCACTCCATGGATGAATGAGAAGCTTCAGAAACTAACAACCTACATCAGAGGTTCTCAAGTTCTCCACACCTCGGAAAAAGCACAGAACAGGTGTTACTCCTTCCCAGCACAGCAACCCCTGTAGGGTGTTGCTTATACAGGATGTGGCATCGCTGCCACGTCTTTAATCTATTTTATTTCTTGTATTTCCTGCTATTTTTCTCTTGGAAATCTACACGACACTTTTCAGCCCTTTTTGCCCCCCCAAGTGCTGCAGCTCCCCACGGGTGGCTCGTTCCCTTTCCCCTGACCACAGCCCTCGCTGGTGGCAGCTCAGCTGGATCCAGCAGCTTTTGAAGCCTGGAGGAGGCTCTGGAAAGGAGGCAGAGCCCCAGGACCGGCCCCTCCTTGGGGTCCCTCTGAGAACCACTGCACGTAGGTTGTAGCCGCTGGTGCAGCCGAGAGAGTGGCAAAATCGTGGTTAATGCCCCAGGACACGGCCATGCCAGGCCATGCCATCACCCAGCGGGGACAGCCCGGCCCCAGGGCAGGGAGGGACACACATGCAGAACAGGAACTGTGCCATTCTTTGGATTAGCTACGGGGAGAGCAGTAAAAAATTAGAAAGGAAACCCGAGGCGCGGCGTCGGAAGCGAATGGAACATGGATGCGGTTCTGCTTTTCTGAAACCCAAGATCTCCCCCTTGGTTTGCGTTTTGCTTTGCAGCTAGTGCTGACAGCAGCCAAATCTTGCTCTAAAGCGTTACAGAATACAGGGTCTAGCACAGGAATGTCTCTCCACGCTTATCCAACTGCGTTGGGTAAGCCCAAAGAGGCCTAGTGTAGAGAAAGTTTATATATATATATATAAAAATACACAAAGATACAGGCCAAAATAGATTCCAGCAGGTCAAATTCTGCTGTCAGCAACAAGAGCAAAAGACATCACTAAAATAAACTGAAAATAAAAAGGAAAAAACTTGGCATTTCCCACACACAAGAGACTGGCAGTATAAACGAAGTTTAGTGGAGCTGTGATGAAAGCAGCCTCCAAGCTGAGAGCAGCATTTCATCACAATATATTTGTCTGAGTTAACCAGAAATCCGAGTGTTGGAGCCAGAGGAAAAGTATTTGTGTTTAAATCACGTGTTTAGTGTTCCAGCCTTTAGTCTAAAAAGAGACGGGAAAGAGAAACGATGGATTCCATCTATGTCTGAAGGCTGTGGGTTAACTTGATTCCAAGACTGAAGGACAGGAATAGATTGTGAGATGGGGCTGGAGGGGGAGGAAGAAGGAGAGTAAGAGGTCACTGAGGAAGCCAGTAAAGAAACCAAAAAAGGGGATTTAAAGGGGTCAAACACCACAAGATCGGGAACAGTGAAGAATTCAGAGTAAAACAGTAAAATTCCAAGGTGAAGTTTTAAATAGAGAAGTGATGAAACCCACCATCCACAGCTTTAGTTTCTGAAGGACAGGACATTGTCAAAGGCTGGAGAAACAATCTGCACCGAGCAGGACTCCAAGAGGACCAGCCCAGAGCGCTGGGGCTCGTTGCAGCCAAGGGAAGAGGAGAAGGAACACAGCGAGGCCCTGTCAGTCCCTTCCAGCTGCTGCTTTGGCCAAGAACAGAAGGCAGGAGAAGCAGAGACCGCAGCAAAGCCGCTCTGCTGGTCAGAGGTGAGACACGGCTGCCTGGGCGTGGGGCTCGGGGAAGGGTCTGGAGCAGAGCTGGCAGCAGAGCTGGCAGGAACAGGCAGCACTGAGAGGCAGCAGGGATGACGTGGGGGTGTGACACCATCAGCTCCTCCAGGGCACCACCCGAGACTCTGGGTCCCAGGGCTCTCCTGAGGGGCTGGAGGCAGCTGGATGCTACAGGGATAAGAACAGGGATCATTCTCCCCCCTCCTGCCAGAAAACCAGTAAAATGACGTGCACTTCCAAAGGAAGGGTGGGCAAAGTTAATGGCAGAAGGCAAAACTGAGAAGGGTACAAGGAGAGATGGCACTGAATTGGCCTTTGGGGTTTCATAAATACAGTCATTTAGGCATTGTGTTAGAAGGAGAAGGGGACAGAGCAGCAAGAGAACACAGGTGAGAAAGGCAAGGCAAGAGAAATCGTGTTCTGGGAGGCACTGCCAGGAAAACCCAGCACAAACTAGAGGGGATTTTTCCTCACCACCCCCCCCCTCCAGGGACTGACAAGGCCATTTGGGGAGATGACTGTTGGTTACCACACTAAAAAAAGAATGCAACAGCACAAAAGTGAAAGGCAGGGCAAGAGGATTCAAGGAGTGTTTAAGAAGTCAGATGAATTAAGGGGGAAAGTTTTCTGCAGAACACGTGGATGGAGACAGACCTGTTCTCCCACCTTCACCACCCACCTGGAGCTTGTGCTTTACCCTAAGCCCTCCTTTCCCTGTTTTTTTTTTTAGTAGAGCTTTAAGCAGAGAAGCCATTAATTGAGGCAGGATTAATCCAGACCAGGCATGATGTTTTAGTACCTTTTGCTCAGAGGCTGCAAGGCTGGGATTAAATATTACAAAGGTAGAGATGATACAATAATCACTGAAATGTTTCAGAACTCCAGCCCCAAATCACACTGGGATGCCCGTGTCTTTGTCTCCTCTATCCAAAACCAGCTGCTCTAGAGCACTGAAATAGATGGATTTATGTGCTGCTTAATTCAAAGGTATCTGTTGAAAGAAGATTAGGATAGCTAAAGCAAGAAAACAAAAAAAACAAATATATTGAAACTTCGTTTACACTCCAATAAAAGACAAAGCCCGTCCCTCCTCTGACTGCGGAACTGGCCTGTACCTCTGTGATAAATTATCACCTAGAGAGAAGAAATCTAAAGAGATATCGTTAATCACAGTCAAACAATTCACAGAGAGAAAAGAAACAAAAAAAGAACTTACTTAACATTACCATACTTTACTATGAAACACTTAAATATGTCACTAAGGATGTATGTCTAAATTAAAAATAAAACTAAGACTTAACAGCTTAATAAATATGAAGTGAAGGATATATTTCTTAATAATGAGGCAGAAGAGAAATGAAAAGTTCAGATGGCAAACTATTCTCTAGCATGTCCAACATGCTACAGGGTGGGAGCAAAGCTAAAGGATTGGCTCTTCCTTGGCAAACTGATGGTGGATGCAATGGGACGTGGGTGACGTGGAACTTGCTTCGTATTTTGACCAGAGGTTCCCAACCTGATTCAATATCTAGTGACCCTTCCACGATCTTGGCTTTTCCCCCTCTCAAAAAGCAGCCTGGCATACAGGGATTGTACATCCCAATCAAAAAAAAAAATAATATATGTACGTATTTCAGAATGATTCTGTGCAGTTTAAGGAGTGTTTTGCTTTAATTTGAGGTGAAGCCATTTAACCAAAACAAAAAGCAGATGATGGATGGATTCTGTCCTGTCTCGTGCTCTGGCTGGAGCACTCCCCATGCACTTACAGACCCAACATACCTTTCATGTGCAATAGGAGGAAAATCTGCCTTTTTTTTTTTTTTTTTTTCCCCTCCAAAAGTACCTTCAGCCACAGAAGTGGCTTGAGAATCAAATTTCATTTCATCTCAAAAAACAACCCCCATAAATGAGCATGACACGTCTGAGTTGAAATGCACAGACCCCAGTGAAGCCAGAGATGAAGAGTCTAGACTTGAAGTGATGTTTGCCCAGTGAATTATTCTTTTTCCTGAGGCAACATAAGAGAGAAAAAAAAAAAAAAATCTACCTTTTCTGATGGTGTGAAATAGTTTGCCATCTGACTATAGGAGAGCATGAAGAAATTTCAAGGACAAACTAGATCAGCCTTTACCTCGGGGCCTCTGTTTCTCTGCGTCGTAGATCATTACAACTTCAGTGACCTGGAAGAGAGGAGGGAAATTCTACTCACTGTGCTACCAGGGGAGGCTTGGAACAGTCACCACAGGCTGGCCCCTGCTCTCTACCCACACAGCACAACTCAGCTGCAGCCACCAATCCCAGGCACAGCACAAAAACCAGGAATATTGCTCTTCCTGGGAGTTTAGAAAGCCTCAGTTCACCCACCCACCCATCCATCCATCCATCCCAAAAGCTGCTGTACTGTCTCATCACACTTAACATTTTAATCCACCATTAAGGCCATTACACTGTTTGTACCCTCACCACAGCCCATAAAACACCCCAAAGGTTTGTTTTAGAAGAGCTCATCAGTGTAGCTCCTTAGAAGATGACTTTTCCCATTTTTAGCCACTTTCACTCTCACCATGAAGATCAGCTTGAGCTCCAAACACATTTAGTGCTCTGAAGGAACCACTGTGGCCCAGAGCACCAGTCAAAGTGATGCTTTAAACAGCTTTACAAACCCCCTCCAAGCTCTGGATGAGCAGGAACAGTCTGGGTTTAGCTTAAAAAAAAAAAGAAAAAAATGGAAAAATTGCCTTTCAAGGGCTTCAAGACTGTTTTTCTCAGAATAAACACCACTGTGAGCTACAATTTAAACAAAACCAGAGGTGGAACATTTATGTCAAAGGCAACATTAAAACAGCTGGAAGGAACCGCTCTGGAATTTCTCAGGTGCCGAAAAGTGGTCACAGAATGGATGTGATCTTATGGAATCACACCTTCAAGGCAATCTTAGGGTATTTTTACTAGAATCCCCTGAGTTAGCTTAACATTCTGACACAATTTTGCCTTTTATTTACAGCTAGAAAACACCTGAGTTACTGGACCATGTACACTCCCTTGACTGTACCCTACTGGGACTGGGCCCCACGTGGGGATTGTGCCACGGGGCAGTGCCAGATTTTTCCCCTCTCTGATCCATTTGGATCACCATGGCCTTAATTACCCAGCAACCACCATGGCTACAAATCAGTGTCTGTGGCCACAAAACATTTGTGAGGCTCCACTGCTCCAGAGGAACTCGTTACAACTGCAGGAGGAGGAGTTTCTGATATCTATGCTATGAGTAAAGTGCTGCTACTTACTTTCCAAGGCACTCACAGTTGTGGCTGTTGCCTTCTACACTCGCAGGACATACCCTCAATCTCCCCAGCAGCCAGGGCACAGCTGGAAAGCCAAGTCTGTGAGGAAGAGCCTTTAGAAACTACATTCCACAGCTGTGGAACGTGCTCCCTGCTTTTATTAGGGGTCTACTGCAGCCTTTCAAGCTAAAGAAACAGTTGTTAGCCACTGCTTGTTGAGTTTTAAATAAATTATCTCAATGGAACTTTAAATATGGCTGATAAATGACTGACTGATGACAAACTTGTTTCTCTACAAATCCTTTGCTGCCACTAAGAAATCCCAGAGAAAAGTGATTTAAGCATAAAAAACCCACACTAAATGCCACTCAAAGGTGACAAGTTCATGTCCACTGGCACAGTCCTGAATTTACCTCAGGCAATCTTTAACTTCCTCAGACTTATTCACAGCTGAATTATTTAATTCAATGGTTTATCATGCTAAAGGGGCAGTGAGACCGGGGATAAATGGGAATTAAAACTAAATAGAGAAAATCCCCACACAAATCAGAAGAAACAGTAATTTCAGTCTGAGGTTACAAACTGAATTAAAAGCTGTATAACATGAGTAGCAGTTTGTCTCAGATGGAGGTTCCAGAGACACCAGAACTCAGCTGATTCCAGGTGGTGATTTAAAGCAGCTACTGCTCCCAAAACAAGGGCAGGAGACTCAAATTTAACCTGTGTGTGCCACAAAGACCAGGAGTTTGTAATTCAGCCCACTGAGGTACTCGCTGTTCCCAGAACAATATATCAACAGACACTTTAAACTGCCCAGCTGTAATGTATCGATGGGAAAGAGGAAAAAATAATCATTCTTAAGCTCCCTCAACCTGGGGGTTTTTGGAGGAAGGGACAGAATATTGTCCCAGGTAGACTGAAGCAAGGAGACAGAAGCAGCACAGTGAATTCCACCCGAGCAGTGGGTTCTGCCAAGAGCCATTTCCAGACCATCAGCATTCACCACAAAACTCTTCAGGTGCCCCTGCAGCAGTTTGTCCAAATTTCCCCCCAAATTTGCCAGCCTGAGGAACCCTGAGGGGAGGCAGCAGGAGGGGAAGCCCCTTCCCCCCCAGTGACTCACCACTCCGAACTTCTTGAAGTATTCCCTGAGCTCTGTCTCGCCACAGTTATGAGGAATCCCACCAACAAAAATCTTATTGGATTTATTGTTATCGCTCCTGGATCCTTTCTGCTAAATCAAGGAGGGAAAGATTCAGTCAGAAGGACAATCAAGTCGGCTGCCTCTGTAATTTCCCACTGCCCCACCACCAATGGGCTCTGGCAGGCTGAGGGGAGAGCTCCAGCCTTGAAGTCTCCCAGTCCTGAAGGCAAAGCACGTTCCGAGCTCAGAGGTTCAGTGTTCCCTGGTCCTCAGAGGACCAGAAATCCAGGGCCTGTGTTCTGAGGCCATTTACTCATTCTACACTGACATCTGATGAAGCTGCAGGGTGTGGAGTGGGCTGGAACAGTATCAGCCCTGCGAGGGCCCTTCCAGCCACTGCTCCCAAGTGAAGAACTCACTAAAAGCAGCACTAAGAGCTTAAGAAACACCACACCCAGACTGACACCAGTGCTCGTGAACACTGCCCTGCACCTCGAGCCTGCCCACGGAAATCCAAGCGAAAGACATTTTTCAGAAATAAATTTACACTCGAGGCCTGCACACTGACTTCTGCCTTTAGAACACAGATATAATCCAAGGGAATTCAACTCAACTGCTAGAAGCTAAGCCAGAACTTGGACAACAGGCAGGGTACACAAGGATCTTTCCTTACCCATCCTTCCTTCGGTCGTGTCCGTTCTGGCTGCATCCCCCGAGGTGTACATGGCTTTGGATCAATCTGGAAGAAGTTCCAGTTTGGTCAGACCTCAGCATGCAGAATTTTGCTCTAAAAGTTACTGTTTGTGGCAGCTGAAGCCAGCACTGCTGACACCCAGCACTGCTGACACCCAGCACTGCTGACACCCAGCTCCTCAGCACAAAGCCATGGTCACACAAACCACTGAGTTAGAGCTGCCTTCCAACAAATCAACTTAAACCAACAACCAGGTGACTTGGACACTCTCCAGTCTGCAAATGAGGAGCCAGAATTTAAAGCAAATCTTTGGATCTGGAGCAGAAAAAAAAAACCCCAAAAAACCCCCACACAAAAGCAACTTACATTTCGGCCATCTAACGTGTGAGGTCTGCTGGCCAGCACTGTTCCCACACAGTTGGGATCTTTAAATTTGACAAATCCAAATCCTCGAGATTGATTTGTTGTTTTGTCTTTCATTATTACACAGTCTACAACTTCTCCATACTGGGAGAAGTAGCTACGAAGAGTTTCTGTTAAAGGGAAAAAGCAAATATTAAACAGAATCAGATACTGACAGCACCAGACTGTGTCTGCAATTATGAGCCAACAGAGAAGCAAACAGTGAAACGACTTCAACTCATCTTTTGAAAATGATCACATTTTACTTCCTGTAAACCAAGGCTAAATAACAGTTTGTTTCCACTCATACAAATGGAAAACAGTACCACAGGAAAATGATGGTAAAAATGGTTGAGTTGACAAAACCTCCAGCACCAAACACTGACAGAAAATATAACCCCAGAAGTATTAACACACAGCTGAGCTCTCTCTGCAGAGAGGTTTATTAATCAGCAGAGAGGAGCAGGAGAGTCTCAGCCCAGTGTTCCCAGTGCCTGTTCAAAGCTCTGCACTGGGCTGCCCACAAGGGCCCAAGGCCTGCAGCACACGTCCCTCACCTTGTGTCGTGCTCCAGTCCAGGCCACCCACAAACAGCTTCCTGCAAATGAAGCACAGGCAGGTTTAGGGGATACATCAGATCCTACATCTTATTTCAGGCCCGAGCTGGTTACCCTGGAGAGCTCTGGGGGTACCCAGGCCTCCAGCACCACACCAGAGCCCGCTGGTTAAACCAAACCCTCCCTCCATTCCTGCTCCTCACCCACAAACCCTCAGCCACTGCTGTCTGCCAGCCCCTGCCACTGGAGGGAAAGCAAAAGTACAGGTGCCAAGCTCAGGCCTGAGACAGAGACAAACCTGTGTGGCAGGTCCTGAATAACAGAGCAGGGCTAATCCAGCCACTCGTTGGGAAACCTTTGGATAATCCAGTTGGAGATATGGCCAAGTAGATGAGAAAGCCATGGCTAAACCCCAAACCAAACTGCTTAAAACTGAAACAACTCATCTTCTGCAAAGAGCACCCAAATCTGCAGGGTTTCATGTCACAGCATGCCCAAGTGCCTGGGTAAGTGCTCAGAGGAGCTCCCTGCCAGCTCTGCACCTCTTTATCAACTTCTGGGTGTGACAAAACTTCCACAAAGTCATTTACTCTGTAATTAAAGGTTGGTTACAGCCACCTCAACACTCAGCCCTTTCTGCATGAAGCACCAACTCAAACAAAGCAAGCCTCTCATGGGGGTCTGCAGCTCCACTCTCTGCTCTCTGTGAGCAGGGACAGGACCCGAGGGAAGGGCTGGAGTTGTGTCAGGAGGGTTTGGGATGGATCTCAGGGAAAGGTTCTTGCCCCAGAGGGGGGTGGGACACTGACCAGGCTGCCCAGGGCAGTGGGCACAGCCCCAGGGCTGCCAGAGCTCCAGGAGGGTTTGGACAATGTTCTCAGGAACAGGGTGGGATTCCTCCTAACAAAACCAATTAAAGTTCCTCTCACCTGCCCTTTTCAGGAGCAGGTAATGGCAGTGAGAGCCCAGGCACCCCAGCCAGAGCTGCAGGTGCACTGGGAGCACCAGGGCACTGAAAGCCTGGCAACTCAAAGGTCCTGCTGAGCAGGGCAGCTCCCTGACAGCCCCTTCCACTCTGATTCACTTCTGTGATGTGACATCACGTCACGACCCTTCTGCACCAGCCAAGGGACTAAATTCAATACTGCACAGCACCCACGAGCCTTGTCCCATCAGGGCAAACTCTGTTCCTAAGTCAGTGGCTGAGACGTGACACAAGTCTTGTCTTTCAAAAAAAACCAGACCAACTGTTAAGAGCTGATCAAAGCGTCTCCTTGAGCAGCCAGAAAACAACTGAGCTGGTGACATGCAAAGGAAATACAGCCCTCAGTGTCAGGGCAGACACCG